AATAAACCAAAAAGAATGCATGGAAATAACAACCTTATTCACGGCAAGTATTTTACTTTGAGGATTCCCTATAGTATCTCGATTACCTTTAACGCCAGTATTAACGAGATTCCACCTTTAAATTCAGAAAATGGAAGATAATTCATAAAAATATATATAAGGAAAATTTTGTAAACATTTCTAAAGGTTTAAAAACTGGGTGCGGCTTGTATAACGCCGTGGCTCTAAACAATAAAAAGTAAAGCACACCTTCAAATAGTATCAAGAATGTAGTTTCAATACTTGAAATCTTTGTAATAGCTTTAAAATATATTTTCATCCCTATTTATAAAATTTAAAGTCTTCAAAAATAGTGTACATCGAGCATATCTATGAAATTTTGAAAATTGGCAGTCCAAAAATGCATTACAAGATACACTATTTCCAAAACTTGAAATCTATTTTTTTTCTCATGTACATGCATAGTAAGGTCGAGATGATCTATTTGACGATATTTGGGCATCAAAATAACTTTTTTTTAATTAAAGGTATGCCCTGATTTGATTGGTTAGAGCCTCACATTTATATAAACTTTTTCTTTAAAAAATGCTCCTCATCCTTTATGATTACGTCCTTTTTCCCAAATTGTTATTTTTTATAAATACCCTCCATTGGGAACTTGAAGTTCCAAACCTGTTTGTTTGTTTTTTTTTTTTTTTTTTGTGAGAGTTTTCAAAACTGTTTTTTCCTTTATGAGTGACATTTAGGACAAGTTCCGAACTGATTTTTTTTCTTTTTTTTTTATGAAAATTAATTCTTTCGGAACTTGGTTTCTTAAAAAATTTTTACTCAAAAAATACACAAATGTCCTTTGTTTAGAACCAAGGATCCTTGTTCATTTTCTACGTGAATAGGCCGAAGATCCTACAATTGAACTTCAAGTTCCGAACCATAAGAATTTTAAGAAACTTGTTTGGGAACTTCAAGTTCCAAAATGAGGACACTAGTTTAATTTTTTTAGTGAATAAGCGGTTCAAAAGATCAAGTTATAAAGTGTCTGAATTTAAAGACATTTGGTTGTGAACTTCAGAATCCAAACTTAGGTCACTAAAAAAAACACGAATTCAGAATATTTTTAGGCAAATTAAAAAAATTTCTTCAGGTGCTTTAATTGGGTGCACTTTTTATATGCCGCCTATGCAAGCTCCACCTGAGAGAGAGATTTATATAGGATTTACCTACAAAGAGATCATTTATCATTTGTATATAGAGGTCACAATTATTTTTACTCATTAGATGTCAAATTGGATGGTTTGGTGAGTCACGAAGTCTGAGAGTGCATGTTTTGGAATTTGGAGTCTATTCAATGACTCTTGCAACAATGCATGTTTTGGAACTTGGAGTCTATTCAATGACTCTTACAACCACCCATTTTGAAATTTAAGAACAAAAATAATTGCGACATTCATGTACAACAGATAAATGATCTCTTTGTATATTATCCCATTTACATATGTTTGTCTTCCTCCTGTTGTCCAATCTAAATAGACACAACGGATAGCTTGTTACCTTGATAAAATAAAACTATCAAAATACACCTTCACTTGTAAGGGTATTATGGCGATTTTATATTATAGAAATTCTTTGTTATATTTTTTGTTACAGCCATTTGAGATACACCAAACCACAAATTTTATATCAAAATGACTTGGGAAAAAAAATAAAATTAAATTGCCTTAGGCCATCTCGTCAGCAGCTAATTTATCTCACAAATTTTATGTCAAGATGACTCAAAAAAAATAGTAAAAATAAAATACTCTAAACCGCCTCGTCAAAGCCCATCTGATGAAATTATTGCTGGCTGCTGGGAAATGGGGAATACATATCATTTATATAAAGAAAAGGACATATAGTTTCTATTTTTCTAAAGGGTGGGGTCTATATAAGGTGCATTTTTTATACTATAAAGTAAGGCACACCTCTAAATTTTGTCTAGATAGGTAATTCTAGTATTGAAACCAGCTTGAAATTTTATTTTATCTGTAATTGTTAAACTTAAAATTCCACATACTATATAGATCAAACATATCTATAAACATCTTAAAATATGTAAAATAGATGGTAGATATAATTTTTTACAAAACATAATATTTTTAAATTTTGAAATTCTTTTATCTCCTTTTTTTTATTATTATTCATACATCTTGATGTCCCAATTAGTGTTTAAAAATCCACCTTCGGTAGCCAAACTGAGCACCTGCTAGGTCCGCACTTGATGAGCTGACTCGTTGAGTCTGGTCAATCAGCTTGGGTAACTCAAAAACTAAACATAAAAAAATAAAAATAAAAAATAAAAAAGAGGAAAAATAGCCCAAATACAGATTGAAAATTGTCAAAAACATCAAACCAAAAAAAAACCAATTTTGAATATATTTTTATTTTGATCCAAAAATGTTGTAAGGCTTTTATAGGAATACGTTGGGACAATGTTTAATGGTCTAAGAAGGATGAGGACCTTAAATTTTTCCTTAACCCGATCCATGCTCGAGTATAGGAGCTTTGGTTGTGTTAGGCAAGCAACCAACGTAAAAATTTGCCAAAACTTATCATGAATCTTGAATCTAAAGTATCTTCTTATGCTAGAGCATTCTCCAGAAGTGACACGCAGTACCGGAATGGATCTACTAAGGGTATGGCCCTTAACAGAGCAAAATGGGGGGCTAGGATTTGTGTAGCTACCCTAATTAGTTGAGAAATGACTTAGACGATGATGACAGTGACCCTGGACAGATCAAACAAGGGCTTTGATCCAAAAAGGCTTCACGATGATGACAATGACTCTAGACGGATCCAACAAGGACTTTGATCTAACAAATCACATGCCTTTGTAAGACAGATCAAATTCGAACAATATAAAACTAATTTCAAGTTGATTTGTTGCATTTTGAGGGAGAAATTCAAAGAAAGGCAGATCAAGTTTATATTTCTAATATTTCATGAGCTTTCCATGGAAAAAATCTCAAGAAAAAAAAATATATATATATAAATATAAATATATATATATATATGGAAAGAGTTTATATAAGGTTGCAACCTTAAAATGTAGAATCACATATGCACCTCAAAAATCGATCGGAAAGGTTGTTTTAATTTTGAAAATACCCTCTACTTGATCATCTCGACATCGAGATGTATGAATATTAAAAAAAAAGTTTTTGAGTCCTAAAAATAGTGCATCTTGAAATACATCATCTGGACCGTCCATTTTCAAGATTTTTATATGTTTGTAGATCTACTTGATTTTAACCATTTTTGGAGTTTAAGATTTTCTAATTATAAATGAAAATAATTTTTAAGATAATTCTAAAAAAAAAATTATAACAAAATTACATGTTATGATAAATTTTGGAGGTGTGCCTTAATTGAATTGTTTAAGATTGCAACCTTATAGAAACCGCACCCAAT